CAAGAACGGGGGATTTTCAGAATTGTTTCCACAGTAATTTGATTACTTTCCTTTCTTTCTTTCCATTTAAAAATTTGGTTTTAAAGTTTAGTAATTGTAGCTCATGAGCGTGACTATATTCATGAATCCAAGAGGTAAACAACATTTTCTTTTCAAGACCATGTCTTAATTAAGGCGATTTATTTTTAATCTTTTTCATAGACATCTTGTGACCAATACTCCGCGTATGATAGCATAAATGTACCTTTCTGCAGTTAGTTAGTTTCTCTCTGGTTTACGGGTTAGTTTTTTTCGCCTTTCAACAGTAATCGTGCCACTGAGGCATGTATATTTATCATCGTGAGATAAAATCAGAAGGTTAAAAATAATAAGAAAATGCTGTTTTGTCAGCGAAATAGCAATTGTACACTCGCACTTGATCACACAAGTAAATTAGCCAATCAAAATTTTGCATTGTTCACAGTTAGCAGATTCATTTTTATGAAATCAGCACCATGAGAATGACAAGACTACGAAGTTGGGCTTCGGCTGGCTTTTGAAATTGTACAATACATTTTTACATATTGTAATTCTAATGATTAGTATTTTGGTCAGTACTCTCGCTCAATGATCCATTCTTAAAAGCAATAGACAATTTCCATATTGCATGCTCTCTTCTTCTACTATGAATATTGTATCAGGGAGAGAAATTGCTTTAAACAAAGAGAAAAATCTAGACATGATTGATGAGGATACTCTCACTCCTTTCGCTGGACCAGCCACCCAGCTTAACATTGACCTCGAGATGAATGTCTCCAACTTAATTGGAAAAATGTAACGGGCTTCGAGCTTTTTTAAGTCTGATCCCGTAAGTAACTGCATGTATTTACATATCGTCTTAATTGCTGTAGTCGAAGACTTATTTAAGGTCATTACGTCCTCACCTACTTTAGGTTATCACAAATCAAAACGACCGCGTAGGCAAGCAAAACTTTCAGGTTGAAAAATTTCCTGATGTCTGCTAGCCATCTGCTAGAAATTCCGCCATTCGATTGAACTTTTAACTGACAAACCGACACCTGTACAAACTGAAGACCTCATCACGACCTCGCTCAGATTCCAACACAAACACGAATAAGCTTAGATTTCCGTTCAATAGTAGCGTTTACATCAATATTTTTATGTACTTTGTAGTAAAAGAAATACACCTCAATGGGAAACGAGAAAGGCACTTGAAACGCGGTATGATACAAAAACAAGTTGCCAGCATATCATGCGTAACCTTTGTAATAAAGAACCAAATAAACATTACCTTGATAAGGATGACCAGATCAATAAATCACATTTAGCACGTCCGGAGCGGGCCGAAAGAGAATTTACGGTATACAAACGTTTGACCCTATGCTATCGCTGAACTTAAATCTATACTTGATAACTCCAACTGTTCATCACGAAACCTACCGTTGCACTTCCATCAAACCGCAAGTAAATAACCAAGTACAAGATTTGTACTGCAGATTAATTTGAAAAAGTTTCAAGAATGTGGACTTAAGTGTGATGAGCGCGTCCATTTGCCCATCACAAAACCGGAAATTCTTCAGTTTTTTTAAAACAAAGTTTTGGGTGATCATTAAGCGAGGAAAAGTCGATATTCATTTAATGTTTAGTCAAAAAACAGCATTTAGCTTTCAACTCACTGATAGTGAACAGTTTAAAAGCACATTTTACTATGGTATTGGTAGCGCTAATGGGGCGTGAAGATGAATACTATGTGTCGATGAGTCGGCGAAATTACCCAAAGATTAAATTCTCAGTATTTAGAGACACTTTCCCTATTTTAATACTTAAGTGCCTCATATCGTCTTACGAGAGACCATATGGTCCTCATCTGTCGGGTTATGCAACATGGTCCCGAGTTTGCAAGTTCATACCTCTAGTGTTCTTCACGAAAGTCCTCATTCAAGTTTAAGATAAGACAGAAAACGCTTTCAAAATGCGCAACTACAACTACATGTTTTTACCAAAGAGGATTAGTGCTCTCCGCGTCTTAACTTTATCCCTGTGGGGTAAAGAATCACATTTCTACTAAATCTTTTTAACGTTTAGGTGTTTTTTATTGTAGTAATTATATTACGAAAACATTTAATTCTATTTAAAATGGCTACTCTATCTCTGATTAAACTGAATTTTTGCGGCGGAAGAAGAGGTCTGATTCCGTAGCTCTCAAAGCTCATCTTCATTTGTTATTTTTCGCAGTTAGAGGATAGGTCGGAACTTAGATCTCTTTATATTATATTTCATAATTGATTAAACAATATTTTTAAATTAACTCCCCCACTTTTTGGAGTAATTGTCGGCGGACTGCGTTGAACCGGAAAATCCTAATAAGATGTAAATCATGTGATAATTTATTTTAAATCGGCTTGAACGAAGAGCAATGATTAGTGCGGATGTGACAAAGCTGAACTGTCAATGTCTCAATTCTCGCAGTGTTGCCTCTGTTACACAACTTTTCACGGAAGAACACAGGTTTGTAGTCAGTTTCTACCTAAGTGTTTTAAACTTCTGCTGAAGTGGTTTACAGCTGGCGCTCCGCCATGCACTGAGTTCCATCCCCACTTTGTTTAATCCCTTGTGATGATGAAACGCTATTTTGTAGAGTCTGTAAACTAGAATAAGAAATTTATGAAAAACAACCAACAAATTACACCTTGGGAAGCACAATGATTTACACTTAAAATGACATACAAACTGGGTATGGCACTTCACTTTTATTTTTGAGAAAAGCTCATTTGATGTAGTTCCTTGCCGGCGAGTTAACCCCAAGATCTAAAAACTCACAATAAATGAACAAATAATTCTGTTGACTGGACCCGAGATTTTGTTCAACCCCTCGTTGATGCTTTTTGTTGTATTTCATCATCTCTTTAATTGACAGCGAAAATGGTATTAGGAAGAAGTTAGGTATATTGATCACGTCGAGACGCCAAAGGGTTAACCTCGTTTGAAAAAATAAATGTAGTCATTACTAGTAATGTACATGGCTGCTTCCTCGAATAATTCCAGCGCTTTGGTCGGTGATCTGGTGTGCAGCTTTAAACCAATTTACTCGAATTGGATGTCGGTATTAGATCTTTGAAATATTCTATCTTGATCCTTGACCATGGGAGCATATATCATAGACTTTAAGCACCTCGACGCTATCCCAGAAAGAGCTGGGCATGCTATTTACAAAAGATAAGTCTTTTACTCTTCAGCAACTAAAATGAAATTGAAATTTTTGTTGGATTTGACCTTGAGACAAAGTGAGTTTGTCTATAAAGCTAGAAAACTTACATAGGTGTGGTTGATTCCACGCATGTTTTACGATAAGTAATACTCCTTTAAAGCTGAGTCGTAAGTCGGTTTTTACTAATCTTTCCTTTGAATGGATCTCTATGTGGCCCGACCATGGCACGTTTAATGTAAAAATATCACTAGTTTCTTGGGCGCTAGTTACTGATTGACAACCTACCAAATGCCTTATATTAACCTCTGGTTGATCTTCGGTTAGAGGAAGGTGATGGTGATTGGGGTTCAGAAGAAGTCAGATTTTCTGTAAATGTACGATGAAAATATGTAATTCAGTTTTGGCAACAACTTGCGGTCTTTGATTAACCACGCCTATTGACCTGGTTAAACTACATTGCGTTGCGTATTTTTGGAAAGATAATTGTGTCATCCTTACTTAGAATAAACTTGGAAGCATGTCATGACAAGAATTTCGTAATCTTCAGTAAGTTGAATTCATTGATGACTAGTCCTTTCCGTCCATATGTTGTCGAGCAAAAGATACCGAAATCTTGTCCGTCGGTTGGCACGTAAGCTTGTTAGCTTTACCGGTCTCAACGGATTAGACGGTGACATATCTCTCGCCCAAAGTTCTTAATTAATGTTCATGGAAGAAAAGGTCCCTGAATCACGTCTTTCGATGTTATCTTTTTGTGATACGTATCTCAGCGTCTTAGCAAGGAGAGAACAAATGAAATGCATGAAGAGGCTGGTAGATTATACGAGTCCCAGGAGTTTAGATCAGCTTTCAGCTGAAATGGTTCTGACTTAAGGCAGCCAATGAACGAACGAACCGATCTCACTTAATAGCAACATTGCCTGTTCAGTGCTTATGGAGGAAATTGCATAAACCGAAGGAAAATTTGAACATTTCTTAAATTCGTTGATTCTATTTTCTATTGATTCATAGTAAGTAATGCAATTGCTTCGTGTAGGAGCTCAAAAAAGTTGTCACAGTCACTGAGAAAACTGAATACACGGATGACAGTACGACTTTTCTTCGTTCGCGGTGAAATTTAATGAATCAGAAGTGATGTGGTTTCACCCTTCTAAACGATTACCACAATAAGCCCTAAGAACTACAGGCAGCTTAATATCTGAAGGAAAGGTACTTTTTCGTTGGGTAAGTCATAGACGCTCCTAGGCGTGATTTCCTCGCTGAAGTACCCATCGAAGCTGACTACTCCCGTTAGCGGAGCGAGGAGATTTCTTATTTTGGACTTAACCCTTGCCATTATATTACTCTATTACCATCGCTTTCTAGTATGGAGGATGGACCTTCGATGGACTAAAAAAGGATGAAGTTTGTAAGACTTTATATTTCCTCACACTTCTCAAACATCCAACACAAACCACGTTTTCAACATCCCTTCGGGCGGGAAGCTTTCAAAAGCCAACGAAAATTTTCAGTAGCTTAGAATGAAAATAAACACATCTTAATTGGAGTTAAGCGATGCCTGAAGAGCGGTTTAACGTCATAATTGATTTGGGGTGTGTCCACAGAGTGCCACCCACAACGAGGTTAATATGCACACTTTGATTACAACTACAAAGTTCAATAATTGAAACGGAAGGAAAGAACATGGCAGGCGATTTTACTCCCGGCATAGAAAGGAGATAATTAAACTGTGACGCACGTAACTGATGGCCTACCGGTGGGGCAGCGAATATTCTCGCGTCACACGCACCGGACACGAAACATAGCTCGGTCCATTTGTATCTCCGTGTTACAACGCTTTACAAGTGGTAATAAGAGGGATTAACTTGATAAGGTCTGTTTTTATTTATCGCAAAAGAAATCCCAAACTGTATCTAGAGAAGAAAATATTTGGAACATGCTAATTCATTACAAACTAAAACCTGATCTCTGCTTTGAGCAAGAAATACAATACTTTGATCGCATAACTGCTTCAGAATTTGGGCTGGTTTTTTCTGAACTTCGTGCCATGAAGATTTAGTGTGTTCTCCAATTTCACACGAAATGTCCTTGAAATCTAAATCCTCACCTTGCAAATAGCGCTAATAATGTATAAAATTCATCCAAGGCTTTATGAAAATCAGTCTGTTTGTGTAAAATTAGCATTTTATCGACGAGGCGGATCGCAGTAAAAGGACGTTGACAGCTTATGTCGCTCACTGATGGATAACAGAACGACCTTTAACGATCATGATTTGCTCGGAAAACAGTCAGCCCATCAAATCATTGATATCAGTGGTTGCAAGTTTACCATTAAGCTGTAGGAGGTGCTTCAAACTCATTATCCTCAAGATTAATGGTATAAATTTCATCAAACAATCCGGAATGCAACAACATTTATTCGTGAAGAAAATCACTGCCACTTACAATTTACATCCTGTCCCTGATCGCGGAAGCACACCGAGAACATCTTCTTTAATAAATGTCACAAGTAGCGATAAAAAAGGATTAGAGGTATTAGCGCTTAAATGGATTTTCGAGGAACAATGATCAAGAATATGTGAACGATAAGAGTAGCCATGCATATAAAACAGTTCGTTCGACTGATATGGACCTGTTGGAAGCTGTTTTTCAGATCTCCGCCCACTGTTGTGATCTGATAAACGAAGACCTTGTGTCTTACTGAGCTTGAATATGTTGCAAAACTCGAGAAAGCCAAATGCAGCCAGGCCAGAGAGAAATGTTGGTTTGAGCATGTAGCCGGTGCCCCGCAAACACACAGAACAGTGCCGGCCTCGCCAATCATGTTCAGTTGATTATCGAAACATCATTGAATGACTAAACTCAAATTAAACCTCGCCGACATCGGGGCGCTCGCTATTCTAGGTGAACTAAGCCTACTTTAAACAGTGACAAGTATGTTGATCGTATGTATATGCTACAAAACATAATAAAGCGTGGATAATTTTGATTATTTCAAAAACCACGCAATCCGTGGGAAATTTCCGATAGTAGCGCGATTTTTCCTCGAATGGTTGATTGAACTGACGGTGCATTGAAAAAGGTAACGTAAAGAGGAAAGCATCTGAGTTCAATGCTATCATACTTGTCTAGACATCTCGACTCCTTAAGATAAATAATTGCTTGATAGTAGTCGGATGTGATTTTTAAATGTAGCACTGTGATACTATTTATTTATTTTTTGCCCCTCGATTGTCTTAATCGTAGAGATAACTGGCTTGACATGAATCAACGAACCATTTGAGGTCGAACCACGTAAGAGTCTAGATCACGATAAGGCAACCCTACGCAAACGAAGAAACGACTTGGACGACGTCTACTCCTTACAGCACCCTTAAGCTGTTTACTGAGATGCATCAATCCAAATTCAAGAGTATATTCGCACTTTTCGTGGTTTGCTGTCTCAGCACTGTTTGGCAGACTTCATCAGAGGCGCTGCCTCCCTGGAAGCATCTCAAGGGTGGTGTGGATCAGCGACCCACAAGAGACAAGCTGAAACTAAAATTTCCACTTGAACCAACCCGGTATCCTAGCGATCCGATAGAAAGCGACTTTGACGTCGAGTCGCTGAAAAGATTACTTGGCGAGGACTACGTTCCTAAATATATTGCACTAACCAGAGAAGAGGTTTTAGAAAAGAAGGCCAATGACACACTTTCACACGAGGAGGATTTCATGCGTAAAATGTTGGTCAAAAGTATGCCAGAGGAAATTAAAAATCTTGACTTTAAAATGCCAGGTATGAAAAGATATCTTGGACCTAAGGCAAGTAAAAAACTACAGCTTTGGCTATGGCAAGTGTCGCACTGCTCAGTTTCACAGAAGTGGAAAAATTTGGGAGTGCGCTATTGGCCTCATTTCATTAACGTCGGGAGGTGCTCCAAGAAGGCAACGTGCTCCTTCCCTTCAGGAATGAAATGCCGGGTCTCAAGTACAAGGAAAGTCGGAGTTCTTCGCTGGCATTGCTTGGAAAGATTCGCCCAACGAAACGAGACTAACTGCACGTGGTTGAAGTTTGAATACCCTGTGATCACCGAATGCAAATGCGCCTGTCTCCAATGAGACCGATGGGAGTCAGGAGTAGTCCATTTAGGGTTTCACTACCTGACGTAAAGGGTCACACATGCGATCCTAAAATTAGAGATTCGAAGTCTTTTAACTTTTATGGAAGGAAATTAGTCATAAGAAGGCAGAACTAGAACTTGTGCATTTTGGAAAAAAGTGTTGTCCAAGCTTTTGTTTGACAGGTAAGTTCCATTATGCACGGCCTTTTCTTGGATGAACAAAAAGCTTGTCTCGTGCGGGCTTGTTGAATTAGCTGAATACCAAGGTCAGAATAAACAAATTCGCACCTCATTTATAGGCTTAGAATTACAGCATGTCAAGGAACTAATTATATAATCTGGAAAATCATCCTAGATGTAATAAGAACTTTTTAAGAGGTATTACAACCACATTTAGGAACAGCACAGTGGTGCTCTAATACAGATACCTATGATGTTACAATCGTCAGTTTTCTGTTATCCATTAGAGAACACCTGAGTTTACTTTACGCTCTATACCATCAACGCCTTAGAAAACACTTCCTAATGTCTCCGACACGCGTAGATCGGTAGCAAGATAGAGAAAGCCGTTTCCGGCCAATTTTAAGCCACTAAATCTAAAATCAACAATTTAAAAAACCACTATTGTTCTGAACCTGGTTCAGATGCATTGACGACGGTAAAAAATTTTTGGGCGATTGGTCACGAATCAGTAAGAAAGCTGATCTTTCTAAGAGACTGAAATGCCCCAAAGAGATCAATGTACTCATTATGTTGGAAGTACGACGCAAACTGTTGAATCCATTTTTGAAAGCTCATATCGTTACGTTATAGTTTAAAGTATACCTATCACACTATCGGCATCAGCTGAAATGTTAAAAACCATTATATAGGTGAAGTTCATTAGCACGGTTCTAGAGTGCCCTTGGTCCCGTTTTGTTTACCTCAAAGTTATAAATATAAGTGAATCAATCCAGCTAAACTCGTTTTAAGTTTCAGAGATTGCACCGATTTTTCTCTTCTTGCAATCCTCTAAGTTAGCCCAATGCTTTCCCCGCGCCGTTTTTCTCTTTATAGATAGAAGATGTATGTTTTCCTGAAGCGCTTCTAAAAATAATCCAAAGAAATCTTAATGAACACGAAAACGGAAAACGATTACAAAAGACTTAATAAGGTTTTGCTAAAAACTGATCTTACGGTTTACCTCCCTTTGTTCCAGAATTTTCAGTTGACCGAGTTTTAATTTGAACACTAATAACAACTAGCGGAATAGAACTCATACTCGCCATTGTTCTTTTGTTGGCCATTGTCAACCGTCGGAAGAACTGAGCCAAAAATAAATGACCTGTATACATGCAGCACAACTTCAAAACACACAATCACAGATGCTTCTGTTATGACGCGTTTCTGTCCAATATTCTGATTGTGGGGGTGGAAGATAAATATTTCTGTTTCAGGCCAAGGTTTCATTAACGGAAATCGATGAAATTTGTTCTGTTCTTATACGCAAAGAAGCATTTTATGGCCGAGTGGTAACAACTTACACGACCTTAGTCATCTTCCTGCGGTCTATCAATAACACACTGTACAAATACCATCGCTTAGTATGGTAAGCAAGACAAAAGGCGCAAACACAACATGTAGTTCACTGCATTGAAGAAACAGTTGATAAAGGTTGCTATGCCTTTTGTGCTGCCACTCTGAGAACGGAAACTGGGGGCGGCTCTCGTTTCCGTTTTTCACAGAGTACTGTACTTTTAAGCGCCGCTAGCAAGCCGCCTGTTTTTCCGATCAAACAAGGGTCGTGCGCCGACAATCAATCACTATTGATTGAGCACCGACATTTATGCTTTTTAAAAGGGCTGCAATCCGTCAAATTTATGAAAAACAAAGGTTCCTCGATGACCGTGTTAGCATGTTGTGGGTCAAGATCACGGGCGCACAAGCGCTGAGTTCCTCCTTAGGAGGAAACTGGGAAGGAGTTGAAGAAAGTGTCGTGCTTCCTGATGCCAAGAAGCGTACGACAAAATGCTTAGAATCTACTGATGCAATGACTTCACTCTTCCAAAACTCTCTTGATCCCTGTAACCGCACAAAATAGAACGACATTTACAGTATTTTAAGTTTGGTGATGTTTTAAATTGCAAATCGTGGCGTCGGTAAGAGAGTACAGTCCAAGGGTTGTGATCGATGACAAGCTGCTGTTGGGGAAGTGAAATCATCCTCCTTTCTCGGAGGTAACATTGCTGACTTTCTCAGATTACCTCTGTCACTTGAAAGGTTTCTACCCATCCTTAAGACAATCCCAAGCCGAAACTTTTATACTCACAAATTTAGCACCCTCGTCATAATAAGAACTGATGACGTAATGGTTTCGATTAAAAACCAGTGTCCATTGCTTTGAATTATGAAACAGAGTTGAGTCCGTCACAACTCGCGCTGCACCGTAATCACGCAGTTACAATATTTGTCAGAGAACATGAAAGAATAACTGACCTCTATCTCTTTGATCTGTTTTATATCGATTTTTTATAATGTCATAATTAAAAATATGATATATGTTTTACATTATGTTACTTAAGTAACATCCCTTGCAAAGTTAAGGAGCTCTTTTGAATGATTCCTTCACTTCTTATTTGTTGTACTTATTACATTACGTCAATATACATTATTCAGCTTATGCATAATGCCTGTTTTGACTATCTCTCATTTAATTTGTATTATTTTATTAACTGTATTTTTAAAAATTGCCCAGGAGAAATTTGATTATACAATCTCACAATGGTTCAAACTGACGTAAACGTAAAAGCTATTTTTAGAAGTCCACCACAAACCAGATATGATTTCAAGAGAGCACTAATACAAAAGACCTCTAGCCTTTCATCATAATTTTTTTTTCTTGCACCAGCAAATTAAATAAGCTAAAGGAAAAGTGATTGACTCCTTTCCTTCACTGTTAGGAAAATGCTTACCTATTATATAATCAAACCAAGTCTTAAACTGACATTTGACTTCATCTGTGCCTCTCTGTATGATTCCTTTTGATACAAAGTACTTGTAACAGCCATCATAACTAAGATGCCAAGAAGTCTTTTTACCTGACTCCTTCTCGATCGTGAAGAGCTTCCCAACTTCTTCAAAGACTTTGTCCATGGTTTCTTTTGAAATAGTACACTTGAAGTCTTCTTCCAATGGATGAAAAAATGTCATCATCTCTTTTAGCCAAGGTACTGATTCATCTGGTAATGCCCAGATCATTCCCAAAGTTCCCTGTGGAGTTAACACACGGTATATCTCTTTCACAGCTTCTTCATTTGCAAACCAGTGGAAACAATGGGCTGCCAGGACCACATCTACACTTGAGTCTGGAAAAGCTTTGTGAATGAACAAAAAAAAAGCAAAAATAAATAAAATTGTTATAAAGTAGGAGAGCAAACTTCCAAGTTTCTATATTTCCATACTTTCCAACCTCTAAATCTTACACTTCTATGCATAAAACCTCCAAAAGTTTACACATTTACACTTCCAGACTTCCAACACTTCTTTCCTTCCACAAGTCCATTCCTAAGATACTTCCACAATTTAAGTATTCACAGTTGTACATAACTCCCAGCTCATTTCCATATTTTCTTCAGTTCTACAACTCAATGTTTCCTCACATCCACCCTTTCAAATGTCCACAATATCAGGGCAATGAGGAATAAAAATGAAAAAATTCAAAACCAAACAATTTACATTAATTTTACATATAACTGTAAGGCTTGATCCATTATTAATAAAGAGAATTCAAAGGAAATTGTTGATGGCAGTTGTACAAGCAAATAGACGTCCATTGGGTCTGTTTTTTATACACCAACACAGCTGAATTTGAATTCATCTTTTGTTTGAACCATTATCATAGAAAAAAAAAATTGCCTTATACTTGTGTCAGAAGTTGAAATGGCACTTGATTGAGCTGGCTTAAATTGACGTTGATAAGTACATTCTATGCTCTAACTTTCTCCTTTTCTTTTAAATTCTGATCTTTAATTTTCCAGAAGAAATGTTACAGATTTTAGAGAATGATGGTCGAGTTTCTTCTAGTTTGCTAACGCTTTATACGTCTTCGCGTCCGAAGTTGTATAACCATCCTCCATAGTGTCCCAGTACTCGATAAAACGCTTATAAGGTAATGTAAAACACAATGAAGTATCCTCAATCCTACGGACAGCAGAGAGATTTGTGCACCAAGAAAATGTAATTATAAAGAAAACCAAACTTACCAATGTTCTCTGCGCTGCTCTGTTCCACTTCGAAGTTTGGGAAAATTTTTCGAAACTCTTTCAGCATATTTTCCAGGGGATCAGTCGCTATCACTCGGGTATCTGTGTCTTTTAAAACCTCCATCAGAATCCTAGTGAATTTCCCTGTACCGCAACCTAATTCAAGAATAGTACGTGGCTGGCTTTTCATTTCCTTTTCTTCTAAGATCCCGACGTTTTCCAGAAGAAATCTTACAGATTCAACAGAATATGTTGGTCGCGCTTCCTCGTAGTTTGCTGAGGCTTTAAACGCCTTCGCGGCCAAATCTAACTGATCGTCCGCCATATTTTCTAAGATTTGGAAGAATTGGTTTGGACGTTGTTTAAACATCAATGAAGTCTCCTCAGAATCAAACACGAAATTCCGATGTTCAAATACCATTACTTTCTCTTGCTAGCCTACACGTGGAGGTGTTTACCCTTTGGCGACACATAATCACGACGCTTTAACTAAACGATTTTCTTTTTTCCTTTATTTAGCAAACGAAAGCCAACCGTGTACATCTATACACCACTCACCCAACCCTTAGCACAGTAACGTACTGCTTAAGGTTATAATTGGCATTCTTTCGCCTATTCTGTAATACTTAGCTCTAAAGGAAATTGATATAAAGCCTTTAAATCCTTTGTCAAACATAAGAGATTGAACTGTTCTTAGTCTGATTAATCTCCCGAGATGGAGCTTTGAGCGAAAAAAGACTGGGACGAGACAGGGTGTTCCGCTTGAGAAGATAAACATACAGCCTCTTTCCCGCTCTAACTGCAATTTTAAAAGAATTTTCTTTGCGTCCATGCTCAGGAGACTGTTAAAGAAGAATAGACCACAGGTAGTTTAGCTGCAATTTCCCAAAGAAATTTCATTAATGCGAACAAATAAAAAAGACGCCGGACATCTCTTTCACGACGTACTTGATCGTGAAGCAACAAAAGTATAAACTTGGGGTCAAATAATGCCAATTCTAAGCTTATCCCAGTCTATTTGCTTAGCCTACCTGTGAACTTGGCACATAGAATAATACAAGCTGAGCTTATTACCGCCAGGGAATGGCAAACTAATCTGGAAAGGATATATCTACATGATATGTAAAAAAATCACAAAGGAGAAAGCTCTACACATGACTATGACTAGTCATCAATGCTTGTTTCCCCCGTCAATATAATGACAATATATATAATATAATAATATAATGATTATATTATTATAAACAATATCAAACAAGTCCTAACAGGCTTCAATTTGACTACTGGACCCTACTGGAGATATAAGTAAACATCGGCGAACCAATCCTTACGGTAAAGAAGGAAAAAAAGACTAAAGACAACATGCAGTAAACGAAGTGAATTGCGATTCTGAACGCTCGATATGTCGGTTTGCAAAACAAACCTTTTGAGGTTAAAAATAAAACATAAAATGATTACGAATGCAACGTTATTGCTACACAACGAAAGTCCCCTCCCATCCAAAATCGATCGGGTTTCCGTTTTTTTGTTTGTTTTCATTAATATTCTTCATCATCGTCTTTGACATGATTAAGAACTTGACGGTTTTAAACGATCTAAGTTAACGAAGTATCGTATTCGTTGGAACTTTTGTGCACACTTTGTTTGGCCTGCTTTTAAACTTTGATTCAACGGAGCCACGAAAAACTATCTTTAATCAGCTCTAGCAGAATCGCACTTACAATAACAATCATTAATTACAGAACGCTTAAATTTTAACCACCGACACGTTACGTCTGCAGCAGGAGTCCCAGTCTTCTTTCCTTTCCTTCTGTTTCGGTTCGTACGGCAGTTCCATCGCAATAGGTACACGTCGATTGGATCAGACGCCACACACGACATTCCCTGAGGCCATGAACACTGCTTGGCTATGCAGCGACCCATCTGCCAAAGACAATAGCATGATTCTTAAATTTACACTAAAAGCTCTGATATTCCTCCCGTCTAGAACCTCACGTCACGCAAAACTATATTCTGATTGATAAGTCGGAATGAGGATTCAATGGAAAATTTTTTACAAGTAATCGTAACTTGAAGACGTCATGAAACAGAATTTCAAAAGGCGTTTTAACGCAGCCCCATGATGGATTTTGCTACACGGTGTGGCATTTTGTGTGTCAAAATTTTTTTGGCGTTTCAGAGGTTTTTTTATAAATGATCTTCACTCTGTTGGCGTCATTGTCTGATACGATACACAACGTGGCATTTTTTGTTTCAAAGTGGAAAAGTTTTCAGGGGGTCGCGCACCACCCACAATTGTCTTAAACGAACAACGCAGAAGTTAATGGAACTTTCTAACAAGTAATTTTTAAATGTTGACAGTTTTTCTGAAGCAAAAAACAGGGGTCAGCATGGCTAGAATACACCAATGCTGTGACAATAGACAGAAAAGCGGCGAATGGAGAAGACATTAGGAGATGAGGAGGTTTCTTTTTTGCCTCCGTTGCTGGGCTACTCATTCCACCGCTCGCTGCGTGTTGACAGTTCGGGGAATATTCCGAGGATAACTAAAAATAAAACTGACAGAGCTGATCTGCGTTTCTTGTATAGTTCAACAGGTAGTTTTGACATCCCTAATGCATGTATATTGTTTTATACATGTGTAATAATAATAATAAGGACTGCGATTAAGCTCTCCTCCTGTCCAACACCTTTCCACTTGTTTCTCTCAATTGTGCAAAGCTCCTCACTTATGCAAGAGCATCCTCCGGGACAGATGAGGAAGTCGTGGTATAAGAGACTGAAAAAAAGCACACAAGCACACGCGCCGGCAGAGTACACGTAAACATGTATGGCTTTCCGATGTGTTTGCCCCGGAGGCTAAAACTTTCTGTTTAACAGAATGATCGTGAAATTAGACCGGACACATGTGAACGTGCGAGGCCGCCTTGAGCACGTTTCAGTTTTTGTAATCAAATATGCAGAACCTTTAAAAAATAACAATGGTTAAACTTTCAATAGAAAAGATCTGATATTAGCTCTCTTCTCACTTTGACCTTTTCTTCCTACGTCGCTGTTTGCGGTTAGTGGGTTTTCATCTTATTTTCCTGGGGTGAAGGTATTTCACAGTCTAGCCATTTCTCTATTGAAGAACCGCTTTTAAGACATTTTTATTTATGACATCAGCTGTTGAACCTTAATAATGAAAATGTACTGCTTTCAAGAAGTGTCCGGCCCTAATCGAGCTTTTTAGTCTTTGCGTTGGAGGCCCAGTTTGCGATTGAGCCATAAAAAGAATAAAGTCTTATATTTCAGCTGTACTCTCTGATCTCTTCTCATTCTGGAAATGTGTTTACTTGACCTGACAATTGTAACCTTATAAGCCAATAAATGACTGATACATGTCGGCTTTCACGCCCAAACACTTTATAAATCGTTGGGTCGCGAAAAAGCAAGTGGACGTAAAAACGCTTCAACACTCACTCTAAATCAACTAAGCGGTTGGTGGTTAATTATTCCGACCCAATCAATTCAGCCAAGACAGACCGAAAGATGAAAGCACTTAATTAAAAGAATTATGACGTTCTGTTTCCTTTTTGCGGCTTCAGGTCAAAAATGATTCATTGAAAAAAATTCCTTTTAAATCCATGGCAAAGAATATTTTGCTTTCTTTTTCTACGGAGGCAAGTTCCACCATGGTATTTTCCTTTACTGATGGAAGAAACAGAACATGGCTTGTGATAATTGGTGTTGTTGTCCACTAACCAGAAAATTTTTTCCTTATTTTGACTGGATTTCACGTGGATCTGGGTTCGTGCAGAATATGAATGACCCCGTGTTCCTCACTAAATTTAAAGCTGATCAGTGTGCCGCAGTGAAAACTTCAGTTTGTCGTGTGATCATCTAAATTAATCCCCCACGACACGCGTATAGCAGCAGGATTCTACCCACGCTAAGATGGTTTTCTTTGGCGCTACGCCTCATACACGCTTGATCTTCCGTTCGTTTTTCCTTCCATATAACACGAGATATTCCTGAAGTTTTTTCTGTAAAATTAGCAATTGAAATAAGAGATGCCTCTAATATGAGTACAATGAGAAACCAACTGCGCTCTCCTGCCCTGCACTCGAAATATCCATGTTACAAAATCAAGGTCACAGCCAAGCTTCTAATTTCTATTACTCAGCCTGAATACTTAAGCATTTGCTCTTCTTTGACAGGTGGAAAACTTAAGTAAACTTCGTGACATGGCCACAACATATACAAAGATTATTACTTTAATCAATAGTCACTTAAAAAAAGTCAATGAAAGAATGGACTTTTCTGACCTAAGACAGGAGCCAGCTCAGATACCACATTTAGAGCCTGGTAGCAAAGTGTTATTACAAAGTACGTACAAAATTTCACCTGAGGTAAGAGCTACTACCTACCGAGATCCATCTTGGCCAATAACAGATACCCTGGTCTGTCCACGTATGTTCCACTGGACAGTCAGATTTGTGAATTAGCCATTTCATAAGAAACCTTTCCATAAAGATGGGCACCTTGCCTCCCATTGAAGGAACAGTCTCGTTTCTGATGACCTGCCTGAGAAAGTCTTTTTCTGAGGTCGTGATGCCTCGCAATGAAACTCGTTCCACTTGCGGACTATCTGACATATGGGCGGGCTTGGAAACTGACAAAAAACGCTCATCGATCGAGCCCCCGAGTTTCTTGCTCAGCCTCCTCTCACTCAAATCACGCCCTGTTGGCTTCACGGGTTCTTCATCACAGTCATCGATATGTTTCGGTTGTATCTTTGATTCGGGGCTCAGAGGACGCCTGGCAATTCCATCAATTAAAAAATCTCTTGGTTGTGTCTTCTCCAGTAGTTCCAAAGGCAGACCATGACTGCGCTTCAACTTATGGGAATGTGAACACAAGGTGAAAATAGGTGCGCTGAGTAACAACGCAACTAAAATGATCGATATCGAGCACGAAGTCTTCATGTCGCGACTCAATGAAGGAAATGTCTTAAGTTTAAGCTTGTTCTGCTTTTATAGCCAAGTGTTGTTTACTACGTGCTCTCTGTAAACGAACCGCCAAGACACTGGACACTAATAATGTTTGGCGCGACACACGACTAGAAATGAATATCCGCACTTTCTCTCGTTACACGTCCGTCGGCCAAAACTGTGACCTTCGTAAAGTTTCGCTTCAGATAAAAATTGCGTTGATCCTGCGAAACGACTGAATGGCCGATTTTAAGCTAAATATTTGTATTGTGAAGATTAGCGTTAAAAAAGCTGAGAACCGCGGCATATTTCAGACACCTGGCTAAACCCCGCCATAGTTACGTCCCACCTGTATGCTTTATAAATATTCCTATTCATTTGCAGACGTCGAGTAAACTAAACAAAAATGCGATTATTGTGAGCCCCATGCTACTAAATACCTCCCATCCCCTACAAGAAACATTTGTACGAATCATAGTCCATTATCTAACTACTCTGTGTACAAAGCGATAAGTACTGTTAAATGGAATGTATTCGTGATTCTAAAATCCAACAGTTTCACACTATCATATTAGTGTCGATGCTTCATATTTCGCTCTGCGATGTAACAGTGCTATAACATGTGTTTAATCCTCATGGGTCTGAATGATGAAAGCTGGCATTGTGTCTACCAGGCAGATAAGAATAATCCGTCACTTCTCAAAAAGACAACACAAAAAACGATTCACCCACGCGAAGAAAATAATGCGGTCGCCACGTATTCTGACGACTCACATCCACTTAGCGTTGAGGGTGAACAGGAAAGCTGTTAGTTTCGCCAAAAAAATTGGAGATTGTGATCAAGGCCTAGAATCTTAGTGTGTTTATTCTGTCTTAATATTTCAGCACTTTTCGCGATGTCATTAATAGCAAAAACAATAACAAAAATTGAACAGAAAAAAGCAAAACTTTAAGTACACATTTTGGAATTCCATTGGTAACGACTGACAAAGATATTACAGGTTTGATATCTAATTAAGGGATCAGTGCCACGCATATCTTCTAGTACTCACTTATTTTCATATTTTAAGCAGTAAAAATAGCATCGTTTTTATTTCAATTAGCAGAAACAAACGGATTGTTGGAATTGATGATTCTTTTGGTCGAAGAACGACGACGGGGAGTTAAATCCGCTTGGTTTCCCGTCAAATCTAAGCTTTCGGACGGCATACGGTCTAAAAGTTTCCCGCCAAATCGTGAACGAGCGAGGAACCGACACTGTTAGCAAAATACTTTAAAGTGGCTAAAAAAGATTGCTTTTAACCTGACATAATTTCAAAATCGTCTTACCAGCCAGACAGTTAGACAGACGATCATCTTACAAGATATCCGATCATTGCACCGACTAATCAAGCAGTACAAACTATCAAAACCAAACAGCTATTGATAAAGAATGACTTTAAACATCGCAGCGTCAGCTGGAGTTAGATGAACAATCTAGGTCACTCACCGAAAACAAATGATTTGTGTAGTGGTTTTATATGGAGGACTTTCTTGAGTGGACTAACGGTTAGAATAAAAACGATGGAAACAGTGTTTATTCTGGTGTAAATCTTTGTTTGGACTGAAGGCGACTGAGGAGGGCCTCGCCCTTTCACTAAACGGAAATAAGTTACGAAGTCCAAAGCACTAACAAGATCAAGATATGGCCATCTGTGAAATCCACCCTGTTCATATTAATCAGTCGCTAGGTTTGGACAACAACGACGATGATGCTCCTAGTGAGAAAGGAATTAGCTCCTAATTGGTCCGAAAAAAAAATGCTTTCAGTGAACTTTGTCAAAGTACAAAATCACTTCAGACTTAAAATTTTTCACCAAAAGCTATCCTTCTAGTCCTGCGGAAAAGAATCACACAGGATTTTTCTTTCCCATAGTTAAAAATTCTCAAGAGTTATTTCACGTTTGTCGAAATTCATTTCTTCTTCATAATGACACTTCTATGCTTAAATGAGCGTGACGAGTCCGTGAACAACTAACACGTTAGATTAATGTTCGCTTCAACTTTGCAGAAGGAGAGAGCGAAGTCCACGGCTGGACTCTTCATGTTTTTTTTCACGTTCTTTTCTTACATGTCTCGCCATCAATAAAGCAAGCACTGTTTGACATACATCATAAGATAGACTGTGATTCTGGCAAAGAAATCAAATGAAGTTGTTTTAATGTTTGCAATAATCAAATTTATTAGTAAAAAAAACAAAGATTCCCACCAAACAAAAATTATTAAAATTCACAATTTTACTCATTGAAAAACTCTCTTTGCGATTAGTTACTTGATTCAGGAAAAGAGAAAAAAAAGTTCATATAAGCGAGTGAATTGTATACAGCGGAAAACGCCCATAGGTGTCTTTTACTACACCAGAGTTTGAGAATTTGTTAACCAGAATTAAATCAAGTTATTTATTATTCTCTTTTATTATCCAGCTCGACTGGCGATACGTTTTTGCGGAGCGATGAAAATCTGGTTACCTGCCCGATTAGAAAGGGCCTGAGAAATGACAGTTAACCATTCTTAAGATATCAACCTCGTTTTACAGCTGAATGTTCCACAAACGGGGACAGGAGGTTCTACCTGTGCTGGCTGTGAGTTAATACTAATCGCGTGAAACAATTTAGTGTAAAACATCTTCTCCCCAAAGATAATCATGATGTCTACATAGACACTTGGGAGAGGTCAAGCAAAGTCCATTAAAGAGTTCAGTTTTTTTTGTGACTGGCCGGAATTCGAACCAGACTAAAGATTTCCGCATCGTAATGAATCACAGATGATTTGTCATACTATTTTGTCTGCATCAGAAAAATTGTTCAGCATATTCAATTAGCTCGTTTGTCTCTTGGTGCCACAAGACACCGAACTTCAGACAAACACTTCAGGAACGTCAACAGACCTGTCTAAAACGCTCTCCAGAGAAATAAGACTCGTGCACTAGGAATGTCTCCTCACGACATTTCTGAAGAACACCTTAGAGTAGAAGCTAATTCACCCGTCGTGTTTACCCCTAGAGGCCGACTTACGGGGGAAAGGATCGTCAGATGTTTAATTTCTTTTGTTTATTTCTCAATTTAGTCTTTATCAATTTGCGATTAATTTAGTAGGCCTGCAATATAGTCAACGGTTTCTTAGAAGACAGCTTTAGCAATTCTTTCTCGGAGAGCGAGCATGTAAGAGGTCCATTGATGTATCGGTTGTTCCTTAGCTTATACTGACCCTAATGATGGGAAAAGTTTTAACCATTTACCTTCACCAATACACAACCTGATTAGAGGGGAAGCGGCGGAAAAAAAAATACAATATCCAATTAAAAAGATACTTCGGCGGTCACGGAATATCGTAAGATGTTTGACACTCGCTAACATCATGGTTCTACCCTTTAGGATATATAATAAATAACAACCGAAAAACAGCAGATCATTCGCAATGATCAGCTAAAAAGAATCTTCTTTACCACAAATGAAACATCAATAGCGTAAGGACGGCGAAGAGTCCTAGACGTTCAACCTTTCTCGGTAATACTGGTTAATTACTTCGATAACTGTATTAGTTAATTACTTGGAGATGCCGAGTAACAGATGTCGTACTCAGACACGAGAGCAACCAGGATGATGGAAGACGATAACAATACGATTGATACGGGTTAAACGAGAAACGGGAAAATTGCGTAAAAACAGAACATTCTAACATTCTAAATTCCAATTCGACGTGGAAACAGTGGACAAGAAAAGCCACCCCGTGGAGTGTCTACTGCTGACTCCCAGTTTTAATACAAAGTTAAAAAGATCAAACTACCACTCCTATTTCAGTTACTCGTTATGAGAGTTCCGTCGAGAATTCTTCACTATTAGGCACTTGGTCTGAATTTTTCGAGATCGTTATTAGCAATTCATGTTAGTCATCTCGACCTTTTCCTTTTTTTGTTCCCTCTTGGTTTATAATTACCTCGTTTGTGTTTGTCTATCTTAACGAAAAAAATACATATTTTTCTGATTCAAGTTTAACACAAAATTATTGTTTTTGGTTAACTTCATTACAACAGGTGCAAGCCCTGGCACCACGAACAGTCATAAAACTGGAATTCGCCTCATAAATCAAACTATGTCTGAATGGAAAAGCCGCGATGGCTATAATTGAAGACTTCACAACTACACAAATAAAATTACTCCATAATTTAATTTTTAATTATGTTTAAAAACATAAACGTTTTCTATCATATTTTTTTCTGGAAGAGAATTCCGGTTTTTTCCCCACAAAATATCGATCGCCTTTGTTCCCTAAGAGGCCTAAGCCTTCAACACTTCAGTCCCGATGCTACTCAAGGGAAAGAGACTAACTCCATCATTGCAATCCTAAAATAATTCTCAATGTTAGAAGTATGAAGAAACATCTTGATTTGGATTTAAACTCGCCCCGCCTGCAGCAACGAGTACAGTCCCACAAATTCCTCCGTGAATTTACCGTCGAGTGTCTTGGTGGCTCGCCAGTACAGCTGACCTACATTGTCTGGCTTTCCACCAGGGTGTAGGAGTTCCAGGCGAATATAATCCACCCACAAATCTGAGGAAAATAAGAAACACACGTATGAATTATTGTAACAAGACCAGGTCGAGTCCAATCAAGCCTGTAATCATACGAGTGATTCACAAAATTTCAAGACCGCGAAGCGGTAGTCCGACTTTGTTAATCAAGAGTAATATTACAGACAGATTTGGTCGGCAAAAAGTCTTAATAACAATTAATCACAAACATGACAAATTTGAGACACAAAATACCCATCAGTGAAGCGTAGTCATAAATAAAAACATAACCGTTAACCTCTCTCCACAAAAAACCAACCTATCAGTCTAAATAAACATGTGGAGAGATAACAAACATAGTCCAGAAGCACTCCGGCTCTTAAAATGTCCTATTACAAGCATGACGCCTTCACTGTCCAAGTGCCCACATCAGCCAACTGATAGCCAATCACGTTCGAGAATTTTGATGTATGCGTTGGGCCTCGGCAAGAGGTTCCAGTCCCAGCCAGTTCCGAAAAAGGAACTATGTGGTCACACTTTCAGTCGTTTAATGCGGAAAAAATATTTTGTAATAAAAAAAAAATACACAACAATATGAGCCCAATCTCGAATTAACCATCTTATACTTGCTTCCTGAGTTTCGGTTCATTTTCGAAACTATTATGAGTAGATAATTTTTTGATGGAAAATGAACCAACTGCCTCTGTGCCCACTCGAAGCAAAGTCCTTAAGTCTCTGTTTCCCAAACAGCTTGTCAGCTCCCACTTGACAAAAGATATAAATTTTTTAGCATGCAACGTCATGAATAGCTCCTTTAAGTAATTTTGCGCAATTTCTTTTAGTTGACGTCTGAATCTTTCTCAATCTTGCATAAAAGAAAAACCGGAGTAAGCAACTTGGATTAAATTACCAACCAACGTAAATTTTACGAACACCAACATGATTTCAATCAGTGGATTAAACCTATTATTTTCTCCTATTAAAAAGGACCAAGTCATGCTAAAACAATTTAAGTGTTCAAAGTTAATCTGCTTTGCTGAAAAGGAAATCTATCAGGCTAGTTTTCTCTAAGACTTCTTATCTGATGGTGCTGTGTTCTGTTCACGGTCTTCACATGGAAACTTTTTCGACTTTGCATTGAATATTACATACTGGCTAACTTCCATCCCGATGAGATTTTTTAAAGCCATTTATCTTTATCCACAATGTTTGTTTTTAATTCATTGGTATAGAACTCTAGGAAACCCCACTAGGAGGGAGGTTGATTTAAACGAATATTTTTCATTATTGTTCTTAATTTTAATCCATCACACTGATGGCTAAAAGTCGGAACTGCTGAAATTTTAATTAAATAAAACAGGCCAAGAAAATGCGGATGCAATAAATTGACAACGTAAAAAAGAAACTGGCGCCATTGTAACGTTAAATTTAATCAATCTTTAATCAATGAAACGATGTTTGGAGGTTGAGACGACGAGGCGCTTTAAAAGATCAGCAGACTTAAAACACTGAGATAATCGGATTTAAACTGAGGATAAAAAGCCGTGGAAAGAGTCAAATACCGCAACGAAAAAAGTTCGAGCACTTGAAACAGTCGTTTGCAGTCTGTTAAGGAAATGTATGTCGTATGTTAATAGCTTGCAAAGCCAAGTACCATGGTCTATCCACTACTTTCCGAGTTCACAATTTACATCACAAACCTTATGGAAACCGTTCAATGAAAATAACATTAAATAATAATAACAATGAACAAAATAAACCAGTCACAACATCCGTAGCAAGGAGACTGAGCTATATACTTATAAGACATGATAAGTAGTATTCGATCTCCCTCTTGTGAAGCCTTGTGAACTTTAGACTAGGAGACGATGAAACAGTCACAATGCTGTACTTTCTACCAATGCTCTACATTTCATTGCATAAAAACGTGATAAAACCTAGAGATCATAAGATACAGTACCACTGCGTGTAATGAATGCGTGTAATGAGACAAAAAAACTGCATTCTGAATTAGTCTTAAGATTACTTGGTGGGTTCCTTGTGAATTGATAGTGTGTGTGTCAAGACGAAAAGATTAACTTGCACCGCTTCAGCTCTCAAAACTGCCTTGAAACGTTTCTGCTTTGAATTCGTCTGAAATTTTCCCGTCGCATGAGCGAAACTCTTCTGGGTTCTTGGTGAATTCAAGTTTCAAATAGTTTTTTAACTGCCAAGAGCCAGCTCCAAACGTGAAATAAGTAGTTTGCATCTAATCTATTCAGTGACTTGGAAACAGATTACTATGGATACAATTCTAGTTTCCCTCACTCATAGTCCCTGTTGCTTCCTCTCAAGTGACAATTGCGAATGAAACTTAACTGAAATCACTTCCCTTTTGACCACTACGGATAATTTTTTTGATCACAAAAATGAATGTAATTTTTAGAATTACCGTGGAGGGCCGCGACTGCGTTTCACTCCAATAACTGAATTAGAAAGAGCTTTGAAATTAATGAATAAATAACAAATAATCCTATTTATGGACTTTAAAATTTAGGGAACATTTTGATCGACTTGTATTTTTAAACGTTCTAAGGTTTATTCAACATCTACATTTTATTAAAAAGCTGGATGACTGAATGAGAGAACGCTGACCTCGTTTCTACTCTACAAAGATTCCGAAACGTCATATTTTCTTTCACTGAAGCATTTCTGTGGATTAGACATATTGGCGCGTTGCACGCATGCATGCAGAGTAATAATAATTTTATTGACTTCTAAGGCGCAAATTCTATATATATACATTCAAATGCGAAACAGAGACTAGACAGGAAGCCAAGTATGCAACATGCCGGCCGACACATGCACAATATAATTAGACCATATAAATTCCATTCCAAGCTTAAAACGACTAGGTCTAGAATGCCGAATTGCACTAAAAATATATCACGTAGGAGGCTTTGCTGCGTTGATAACCATTAACTCAACAGAGTCTGGAGGGAGATTGCAAATAAACAAAACAGAAAAATTATATCTCTTTCTTTTAGTCACGATCTCCAGGCACTTATTACAAACAACCACTCTCTACAATGACGAGAAGAAGGCGAGAAAAGCCGAAGCCCTACGCCCGCCTTTAAACAGAAAATGCAAGCTGTGAGCACCTCACAACTAAACCACAACTACGAACAAAAGAGACAAGTGTCTGGACACCTGAAGGCCGGCACAAAAGCATAACAAGGGAGTGACGAAAATGTTCGTCAGCAAAGGAAATTTATAGCAGACACAGGCAAATCGATGCTAACTCAAAATAATTAAATCGATAAAAATGTTCGTCGGCAAAGGAAGTCGAAAAACCTTTCGAGAAAATACGACACTAAGTATAACAATATGTTCTTCTCGTCAAGAGAACATCACGTTCTCCTACAGCACACACAAATGAAACTCCAACCTCCCTACCAAAGTCTAACTCTGGTGAGAAAGTATCAGTTACTGCGCATGTTCAATGTATCGCTGTCCTTTTGCTAAGATCTGTCGTTCTAAAGTTTTTGATCAGAGCCCTGAGCAGCCAACGTGAACCAAGTTCACACATTTCCTGCAATAAATCTCGCGCGCTGTCACAAAACTAAACAGTTTAAGACAAAAATATCTAAAACAAAATGTTACCTCTGGATTGGCATAACTTACCAGGAGAAGAAGAACCAAACTGATCTACGGCTGCTTCATACAAATCACGAATACGCTTCGCACTCGGCTCAACCTGAGCAACCAAGTAAAGTAAGCTTAGTAGACTGCACGACGTTCCGACATGCGCACGAACTAAACATACTTCAGCACCTTAGCAGTACAAGTTATTTCCTATTAGTATCATATCAACGTTTAACTAACAAAGGTTTATTTAATGAAAATCCTGCCATACGACCGTCCCGTCGACACGGCCAGTTTTACATGCCTTGACCGATAAATGAAAGTGTAGATTCAGTTGTTCATTATTTCAAGACGTTATCAATCAGTCCGATGATCGTCTTAGCGAGGCAAGGTTCCATTTTTACTTAAACTACGCTTTGCTAAACGTTTGGCTGAACTGCAGACGATTAGAAGGCGGATTTTTCAAACGACGATTAATCTTCGGCCCTTAATGTCAAAACGATTACAAGATGTATAAAAAAATGATGCAGGTTCAAGCTTGAAGAAGCCGGGCGCTTTCGCACAAGTATTCAGTCACATATTTTTTGTGCTTTCACTATTTCAGCATCTTTTGCGTTAGAACTAGTTGAGTATAAAACGTCATCCTCTTCCCAGGATTTTGTCAGGATCACGAAATTGAGGATCATTCAAAACGACGGACCATTCAACAGATGCTATTTTTGTCTGTAACGATTTAACATCGCTTACCTGTGTTAACTCAAGGTCGATACACTTTCGAAAGAAAGACATTGTATAAGGTCGCTCTTGAATCAGTCTGAAGGGGAAAGGCGAAAAGACCGGTTACACTTCATTATTAATAATTGTATGACGGTATACAGCCGTTGCCCAGAAGTACTGGTACTTATCCATGCTTTGTTATAAGGAGGAACTTAAACATGAGGAGAAGGTAGCGATCGTCAGAAATTTGAAAATGAGCTTACAGTGAACAAGAAAATTAATTTAGCGAAGTAGCACAGAATTGTTTGTCATCATTGGACACAGTTAATAAGTGTAACTATTTCACCTTTTGTAGAGTTTCCTCGCTTTCTTGATCCCTTTGGTGCTCGAGGTCCACTCGACATATTTGTATTTCGTTTCGATCTGTACGTCAGCACAGGATTGCAATGACAGCTGTAATAAGACATAATAACGAGAGGAAACACAAAAAAAACTTTAGTTTCTTTGAAATATATTGATGCAGTTTTAAAAGCGAAAAGTTGGCAGAATCCCACCATTTCAGCGTGTTTAGTAATTTTAGTTAACATTATTGTGCAACTATTGAAAGATGAGGGTAACTCACTTCAAAGACAGATTCCACCTCATCCGGATTATTTTCAATACACCACTCAATCCAGAGATTCCAAAGAAATAACGAATCCTACATCAGGAGAAAACCGTGAGAAATTACTGTGTGAGAATATTCAAGGACACTGCACCATCGATGATCTCGGGAAAAAAAAAGACAGTTCAAGCGATACACGGGGATATGCACTTGTGTTGATTCATTATTGCACCTTTGACCAAATGCTTTGCTTAAATGCATTTTGTTCTGAAATAAAACAACCGCTATAAAGGATTTGTGGACTCCGTAGTAACACACGTAGTGATGCAGATATCGAGGAATTTCCTAGTTCACTTCAGTTTTCTTACCTTGGAATCTACGCACTGCAGAGCTGTAGAAAATTCATTTTGAATGTCCTTTATTTTGCCTGTGAATAAAAAGTAAAACCCCAATTGTGATCATTAACCCTTCCCTTACGTAATGCTGTGGGACAATTAAAAGAAAGTACAGACTTTCTATGAATAGAAGCCAACACCTGCAATATGCTGGTAACGCAAAAGAAATTGAATAAACATGTCCACGAGCCAAATACATGAACCTTGTACATCGATAGCCTGCAAGCAAGCTTTCCAAGGGTCCTAGGAGTGGGAGTGATGTATAAGAATGGAATCTCTCCCTGCTCCTCTTCTCCTTCTTGCCAACAAACCACAAGAGAGCTTGCTCGCAGGCTAATGCATGCACACAACTGTGGGTTACTTTTGAGTGCTTCACAATGCACTGCATGATTACCTTCCATGGCATTTAAATGTTCATTGTGTAGAAGGGAAACTTATAATTGTATTAAGCAATCGATTCACATAACCTTACCCTTGTTCAGCAGTTTAAGTCTCAAGTACTTGCTCCACAAACTCGCTGATGTTTTAAAATGTTTAGTTGCCTTTTTACAAACCAATAAGGCTTTCTTTGACTGATCTCTTTGAAGCAGGAGGTCAACCTGTATTGTATGCAAGGTACATGTACTGCTTTCAATTTTACAGTTATTTCACCTGGGATCTTGATTAGTATGCAAGGAACTTGTCACCCTTCATTAGCAGGCAAGTAGAATACTAAATACTTAAGTGTTCCTTTAATTGGCTACCATGGCAATTTTGAAAGGCTGACAAGTACATGTATGTACTAATGAAACCATGGGAAAAAATGTCCAGTTCTTGTGGGAAAAAAAAAAAAGATAAATGAAATGTGAACTGTTCAAATTCCCATAGCAGGGAATTATGTATAAGTAGGTATGCCTTTTCAGCTACATGTATAAGTCAACAAAATATACGAACAACAGTGAGTTCTTTTAAAATGATGCTCCTCTAACTTGGGCTAAAGTGAGATTTTTTTCTTCCGAAAACAATGTACATGTACATTCACAATGGCAGCAAAAAAGAGCACAAAGGCTCTCTTTACAACATTGTAATTAATGTCCACATCTAATTGGACAGTTGGGGGACTCACCCATGTTTTGTAGAGATCCTCACTGACACAATTAGCTTTTCCAGCCTCAGAAAATAAGCACAAAACATTTTGCTCTTGTTGCTACAGAACAAAAAGCAGAACAAAAAATATTTAGAAAGACTATTGGTGTTAGTGCATATATGGTAGGACTGAATAACTTGCCATTTTAACCTACAATTAAATGGAAAGAATCTTATAGTTATGTATTTACCTCTTTAGCTTGCTCGAGAGAAGAATCAGTAAGTAGCTCCATACAGGTAGTAATATATAACTCCCACATTTTATCTAGTTGAAAAAAAAAACAACAACAACAACTGCAAAATCAAATAGTTGACAAAAAGTTGATGTGTAAATCAACTAAAACATGGCCATAATATAACTGTAAATCTTAATTCACATCATATTACAAAGGCAAAACAAAAACAAAGTGATGAAAAAACAAATAAAAGTGGAAAAGTTAAGGACTGAAGGAACACGCACCTTATGAACAAATAATGGTCAATTACTGCTTTTAAGGAGAAAAATAGTTTACCATAAAACATGCAAACTATTGATAATTTATGGATGCTTAGCTCACCAGTTTGAACTTGTCCTACTGCCTGGTGAAACAACTTGTTCATTTCCACCAGAAGCTCTGACCACTGGCTATCTGTAGATGAAGTTCACATACTTATGTACATAGTTTTTTCTTAAATCTACCCTGCCATAAATGATGATTAAACACAAGAACAAATTTATCCTTATCATTAAATATGACTATGAAACAGTCCATCAAATTATCCACCAGAATTCCCACCTAGAGTACATTTACAGTACAATTTTAGTTGATTCGTGAAATTACTTAATTAACTTACATTTTCAAACTTGATCAAAACACTGAGTGATAGTCTTAATATCAACACCTGTAATAACAGCTGTTCCTTTCTTTACTTTAGCTTTTGCTTCATCAATGGCTCGACGTGCTACCAAATTCCACACCTCCTCAGATTCAGGAAAATGTTTTATTAAGCTAAAATAATAAAATGAAGCACTAAGTTAAATTTTAAAACATACTTTAAACATTTTGCTCTGTAACTTCAGTGGGAAAACAAAAACATATTAAAAATAGGAGTATTCTAATTTCCTTTAGCACTGATGCAAAAGGTTCCTTGCAGTTCAGCTCCAAGAGAAGAATAGGAATAGCCAAGGAAGGCTCTATCATACAAACATGTATCTGAGACATAACTGACAAGAGTCTTCAAAACCAGTGTACACTACATATGTTATTTCCAGTAATCCATGTTATCACTATCACCTTCATAAACCATGTCAAATCAGGACAGCAAAAGTGATGAGTACATTCTTAACACTGACAATACCTTTCATATATCATATCACAGCCATGTTCCGTGTTTTCAAAGAGGCGATAAATTTCTATAAAGGATATTCGGAACTTTATATCATCTGCAATGTACAAAAAAAAATGTGGTGTCATCAAGTTGTATATAATTTTTCAGACACAAAACACACATGGTGTACCTAAGAGTGCTGGCAAGTACATGCATTGAAATAAAAGTAACTACACATACAGTATAAAGCACTGGTTAAGTAACAGTTGATTATGTTCTAATGTACAGTGTAAAGACACTGTGGCTTACATTTATTAGCACAACAAACATTACCTGGCACAGCCTCTATTGCCTTTTTGTAGACAATTTCAGGAACTTTTCCAGCAAGAAATTCTGCAGTCACTTCTTCTTCCTGGAAAATAAAAAAATAGGGAAATCAGAGCCAAGAAATATAATGAAACAGAGCATGTGCAGTACATCTACAAAACCACTCAAGTTTCTTTTCAAGAATATTGACACTGTTAAGAACATACAAGTTAGTCTACAGAAACAATAGAATTCAGCAGTCTTCCATTAACTAAGTGGAAAACAAGTTAGTCAATCATGCAAACTTCATCTGAGTCAACATACCTGGGAATCTTCTCCTCCACTCATTCCAAGAACTTTTCTTCTATTATGAATCTGACAAAAACAGAATTGTATGCATGTACTGTACCAATAAAGTGTGACAAAAATGTACTAACTTAACAAAATCAAACTGAACTACTTTAAAGCCAGCCAGGGGAATAATCTAACTTACACTGAAAACTCTTGAAAACATCTTTAAACTAAAAAAAAATAATCTTAATTGACTTACTTTTTCCACATGAAGAAGTTCCATTCTGAAATACTGCAAGACAAAATTTCATAATAAGAAATATTGTACCATTGGTTTGTAACTAACTACAAGTGTTACAGTATCTCTGGCTTATCTTACCTCCAGCCATAGTTGCTGAGAAGAAGAGTTTACCCTCAAACCTCTTTGTAATAAAGATCTGCTGTTAGGAATGTTCTTGTTTTCTTCAAACTCCCACTTTGCTGCCATTATCCACAGACCTGAAAGTACATTGTATAATAAATAATGTCTTGTAGCAAAAAGATGGAAATACCGGATTGAGAAGAAAACTACGCCACAGGCTTTACTGATTTCATTACAATTACCCAGTAAATAATAAGGAACATGGCATCTTTTCCCATAATGGATGCTGGTCCATCACAGGCTACCCAAAACCTCCTGAGCATTTCATGAGATCTTGCTGATAGGTCTGTGGTACCTAGCTGATTTATATTCATGGATAGAGAGAAGTGTCTTGTCTAACAATGCATTACAATGATCCAGCTTTGGCTCCTGAGTCAGCTAATGAGCTGCTGTGACTCCCTCAAATTGAGAATGGTCTTTAAACATTGACGACAACTGAACATATCACATAATTTAAGTTCATTTTAAATCAATCTCACATAACCAAGCCTTATTATGAAACATATTCAGTAGATCTGAAAGTTTATAACAAATGAGTAGTTAACATACTTGGCTTGTCTGGATGATATTGCAAGAGTTTTGCAAACACTTTTCCAAGAATTTTTAAACTTCCCTGAAAGAAGAAATAGTATTACAAATACATGTATATGTAAATGTAGTGACTATGCAGGCAGTTAAATCCTGACATCTGAAATACTGCTACAAAGGAGACTACATTGGTATGACAAAGCAAACATTCAGTTCTCAGAAGAAGGCCACAGAGCTTAAACAGAGCTGAACATGAGTTTACTGCAACCATGCCAAACCCTGTGAATCTCTTAACATCTTATGTGCAAGTGCCCATTAGCCTGGTAAAACCCTTTTAATTATTTAACTCCCACAAGAGATTAGCATGTAACTTCTCCTAATAATATTCACACATCAACCTGCACACAGGTAATAAGAATACTCAAACTAATCAGGGAGAATTTGTTATCTTGATCCAACACCAAATTCTCATAACTACTTTTCAAGGAGATGTGTTGCAGCTAGAGGGGAGAATTAACAATCACATCTTGGGACTTAAAAGGGTTAAACTAAATTGTATAGCAGCCATAAAGATCAATAACAATTCAAGTCTATTCCTACCATGTGTTTGCAAAATTCAATGTACTGGATCCAGAGCTTGATGTCTCCCTAAAGGATTAGGGCATTATTAAACACTTGATACTATTTTACACCTAAAGAAATTCATAATAATTTTTTTGACAGGTGTGGGATGAAAAATGAAAACCTGAGTTTAGCATGAAAACTTCAAGCAAAGACCTTCCAACTTCTGTCAACTCAGCTACAGAGAATTTATCAACAAGGTAAACTACAGGCATAAAAGGATCCTGAGAAATGTACTTACACCTAAATCATTTATATATACAGTTGTATGTAGCTGGTCTTGCTGCGATCAATATTCTAAGATAGGTTAAAAGTTAGAGTGTTGAACAATTTTTGTACCCTTTTTGTGAATCGCCTTATTGCGAATATGTTACTTTTATTCACAATGTGCCTTGAAAGACAGGTTGCTCAAATTTACCCCATTACAACTTACCACAAACTTCTTTAAGGCATTCTGAAAAGCAAAACAAGATATGTGTGTTTAATTTTTGTACAAGTGAACTGAATCATCAAATCTAATTTTTAGATAAGAAAAAAACTGGTCAAACTTATTGGGAGGATTAAGACATGGGGTCAAATTCATCTTCTATCTACAGTTGTACGTGTATTATGCAGGCTGTAGTCCTTGTCTACAGAATGAAGCTATTTTTGAAAGGAGGTGCTGAGGGATTAGGAGGCTTAGGAAATAATAATTCAAAACTAATTCTGTAGGTGATTTAACTGAGCTGAACTAACCTCATTTAAAACTGAGATGCATTAATAACTCAAACTGCCTCGCTTAAAAAACTAAAAAAACTCCTGTTTACAAACATAGAAATTTCTAAGAATAATCATAGTATACCTTATAGAGATTGTAGTAAGGATATCAACATTCTTTACCTGAAACAGATTGTGAATTTTTTTCATTGTTGCATATTCTGCTTGTAAATTCCTTTTTATGCCAAGTCTCTGCAAAACAAAAATAAATGAATTTCTACACTTGAAGATTTCAGTAAATTTAATTGAAAAATACTGCACTGCAGATAAATATCTCACCGACTTCCTCTTTTTCTTCAACATATCCAGGTTAATTTCATACTATAAGTAAAAGAAAACAAATTCATTAAATGTTCGAACCAAGAATCTGTAAGCCTTGATCATTAGAATGGGAATCTCATCAGTGGAATATAACAGCTTTTGTTATAGATGTACTACAGTAGGTGATCACGGTTCTGTATGTACCTGCATATATCTTAAGAAGTCTGACTTCTGAACGATTCTTTTTTGCAGACGGTATTCATAGTCTCGTCTCTTACGTACAATGGTCCTGTATCGTGGTAAATGACATTAAATCAGTAATGATTATGACTTTAATAGACCAAAACCATCTTTAATAAGAGTAAGAAAATGTAGTTGGGTTTTACTCTTGGTCATTTGTTAGACGTTGAGAACGTTTTTTCACAAAATTGCAACTATTGAATCTTGGTGCCCAACTTCAGAGATGACACGGATTATCAAGAAATTAATGTTTCTTAGCTTAGCTACATAAGAGGCATGTAGCTTAAGGACAGAACAACTGTGCATCCACAGTCGACGAATCAAGACTAAGTAACATGAGTAAATGAAAGTTAAGAACGAGTTAAAAACAGTCGATACTATTTATTTTCAATGCAATGCAAGTAAGTGGCAGGTATGAGTTCTACAGTTCAGCTGTTAAAAACATGTTTTCCACCAAAAGACAAGTGAACAGCTGTAAACTTTACTCACCTGATTTCATCACTTGAAAACACTCCCATTCGCTCCATTTCCTCAAGTTCTGGCAACATACCCTCGAGATTTTGCTGAACGTACTCTGCCATAGTGGAACTTTTGAGTAACGAGAGAAAAAGCTATAGATTTTCGAAGAAAAGTCTCGACAAAGCAGCACGCTTCTTTCGTCCACCATATGCAATGTTAGATACCGCTGACAAGTTTGCGATGATCATGACCTGTTACATGAAGCCCTGTTAGGTCTATTGAGAAAGTCTCTTCATCACAGGCAACCCAAGTTTACGTCTTGTGTGACTTAGTGTTAGGTTACGAGAGGAACCGTTGAACACGTTATAAGGAATAGTATGGGGAACGAAATATGGTCGATTTACAACGATAAATATTTCAAAATATGAAAATTTTTGCACGTAAAATCAATAGAACTTACTCACATATTGTGTGTCCGCTGTGGTTTCTGGCGATTTCTGCCGTTTAAAGCTTGCTTTTCCATCACTGTTATTCCTGTTATACTTCGTCTTTTGACAGGAATAACAGTGGTGGAAAAGCAAGCTTAAAACAGCAGAAATCGCCCGAAACTACAATGGACGCACAGGATGTAAGTAATTTTAATTGATTTTACGTCTAAAACGTTCATATTTCGAAATATTTATCGTTCTAAATCGACCATACTTCGTTCCCCATACTATTCCTTATAACGTGTTCAAATTCTCAACGGTTCATCTCGTACCTCAACAGTGAGTCACACAACGCGTGACGCTTTCAATTGTTTGCTTTTTCTCGAGACGTGAGCTTGGGCTGCCTGTGCTCTCCTCAAGTTATTACGACGATTACACGTTCATATTTATGACCCTCCACAGGATTCTAGGGAATAAGGTGAACGCACGCGCACGGTACGCTCGCATGCTGAAACAAAAGAACTACCTTTTAACACGTTAGCTGCGTGTTTGTTACTTGCCTCATTAACTTCGCAGTTACTGCCTTGCTTCGCACGGTAGAAACAAAGGAATGTGTAAAGATCTTGCTTGCAACTTTGGACAATATAACGCGGTAACACGCCTCTTAAAGTTGAAGTTGCTTTCAACATGAACATGTACGTCCTAAGATGTAAGGCTTTTTAGCTCACCGATACGCCCGGCCGATACGATACCCAATATCCAGTGCAACTTGGGTCGCTAAATCGCCAAACATAAAGGAATATCTCGACTTGTTGTCCATCATTTAAAACTTTGTTTGAGTTTTTTCCTTCATTTTCGAATTCCTCATTTTCTTAAAACAGCTTGCGAAACGCGGGGACCAAACGAGCAAAGTCCTCTGCTCTTGAAATCGTGATCATCTTCCTCTTCTACTGGTCTGGCGCTAAAACAATCTTCTGACAGGGATTCTAAATATTTTTTGCCGGTTAGAATGGATGAGAATTCATGACTTTGTGATAGCATTTTGAAACTTGATGATGAACAGCTACGAAACGTTTGGGAGTTCCTTTGCGCGTGGAAACGTTTTGTAGTGTAAATGACGTAACTATGGAGAATGCACGCACGGGATCCAGAGGAGTTTGAAACTTTAAGTTTGCTCAGTTTGCGAACTAAAATACTCGTTAATACCTTCGAAAATTTTAATTTTAATCGTCCTCGCGTTACAGTTGCGTTACGCAAGGTATATACCACAGTGCTAAAGACTAAGAGCTTGTAAGATGCCAAGATCGGCGTACAGTAAATAATACGCAGCTTTGCTCGGGAAAGCTTCATTATGCGCCGGCTAACTAGCGGTTATTTATTTTATAAATGCCGATTTGCATAGGGTGACGAACAGCGACTGCGTCGATCAGGAGACATGGAGCCGGAAATCTGATGCTAAGGATTCACAAAGATTCGGTGCTGGGCTTATAAACTGCGTGAGGCGATAAGGATTTATATTTCACAAGGTAAGAATTAAGAAAAGACAAAAATTAACAAAAACAAGTTTCCTCAAATACTTTCGTTCGCGTGACTTGAGTCATGCGCAAAAAGAAAGACGAACTTCGGTGGGAGGCGATTCAATAAAGTTTGCCAGCCCTATATTACTTCACCAAAGCATTTGACGTTTTCAAATGACTTCTCTTTAAGGATACCAATGAAACGTTTCCAAGACTGATGACCCGTTTTTCGTTGTGTACCGCCTTTATGTTCATTACAGGTAAAACTTTATTTTCCGCACAGACTTGGACTTGGCAACTGAGGTTACTAGACATTACTGAAACATCGTGAACCTTTTGCGTGTACGATCTTGCAAACGTTTTAGCTTATAGACTACTTATGACTATTTAGCCACAATTCTGCTTATCCCAAATTGTAATTGCCTTGCTGCAGTAAGTTGATTATTACTTATTAATAAGTCCTTAAGCACAACAGGGAAAAGTGTCCTTAATTTCACGAGACACGAATATGAATCTGAATTTAAGTAAATTTTGTGTAATTTGTTCTTCTTGATTTCTGTTTTCCATGTTGGCAAATAATTTTTCCCGTGAGCTTCCATAGGAAAAACGTTTTAGTCATAAGCGTCTGTGAGTAGATTCGAACAACAATATGAACCACCGTCGGCTAAACTGTTTTCTATAAACATTTCTAAAACTCTCTCAGGACACATCGACGAAGGTAATATCGTACCGCGTGTCGCTGTCCCTGAAAACATTCCAGGAGTTTCCATTTTTAATTCCCTTTTTTGTTCCCTTAAAAAACAGGTGGAAACTTTTTTCTTTGCTTTTGGCACGACTTTCATCATTTAAATTCAGCGTTCGTTTTCTTTTCAATAATCATTAGTTCAAGTGACTCAAGTCAGGATTCATTATTCATATCCCTTTAAGTAATTGGTCTGTTTTGCAGTTGTGACCGCGGTAACGCAAGCTGCTGTGTGATATTTATCACACTAGGTAATTTAAAGATCGATAATATATTCATGAAGGTGAAGGCAAATCATGAATTTTATTATCTTTTCGGGTATATAAGCATATCTTTTGATTGCACCGTCCAGCTGATGGTAATAAACCTTATTTACCACACGCCCAGGGAACTGACTAACTGAGTATCACTTTCAACCTCATACATTTAAATAGGTTTCTGTCGTACAGCTACTAACTGTGTATTGTTGGTACCCTGCTTTGCGGTGTCGGTGGAAGAATAGAATGTTTCTTACAACAAGACAGTCTCTCGTGGACGTCAAAGCGTAACAGTAAGTAAAATCAATGTATAGATTAAGATTATTTGTTTGAATCTCCAAAACTAGTAGTTTTGCTTCATACAGTCCAAATCTTCTCGATTGACGGTGTTTAAAAAATGATGCAAGTAAAATAATTAACTTTAACGGAATATTAATTCTTTTTTTGGCATAGGCTTTGCGTTTTCACCCTTTCGTGGGTAATTTTTTTAGATTCGGACCAAAAAAGAAATTGAAAAGGCAAAAACCCCATTGATCAAATATTCTTCTTTTAATATCGGTATATAAATTGAAAAAAAAATTGTAATGGGAGAATTTTGTGACGCACCACCGATCCCGTCAGTTTACACGAACCTTATAACGGTTATAGCTTCCAAGATTACAAGCAGCTTGCACTGCCAGATCACAAAAGTCGTCCAGTGACATGAACCACCGTGAACTGTAACCACAATGAGGGTTAGTTAGAATTTTGTTAACTTCACACATTGCCCCAACATATATGCGAGAGAAAGTTCATTAAAATCATTTTGTCACAACACTTTAAATATTCAATTCATTGAACTTGTCGTTGTTTGTAGGAGAACTTTTCTTTTTTGCCAGATTTTTCACTTTAAAATGGATGGAAAAAGGTTCGTGAAAAAAAGAGAAAGTTGTCACTTAAGGGAATGGAAGGGTGATATATAAATACTAAGACTGATTGCACGAAAATTATCAGCATGCTAATTACTCAAGGCCATTAGCTAACTTATTGAAATTTCATGTTCGGTTGGCTCTTACCTCTCATTAGAATTAAAGTTTTAGTACTTCACGAAAACCGTATCGCCACGGCTAAAGGTGTCGACGAGACATATTCAGCATAATTAGAACTGAACTAAATAGAAGGGAGGGAACTTTCCAATTTTAATGTTCTTGATAAAAAGTAAAATTTGATGTAAAATTTACAGGTGGTAAAAATTATTGAAAAAAAGGAATTGACTGCCATTATAAATAAGAATATATTCAAATTTGAACGCTAATGTTTTCGTGTTTCACGATACGAGGATCAAAATGAACTTCACTTTGTATCGTGAATTGTTTTTTGGCCGAGGCACTTTTCCTGTCGTAATGTTTTGTTCCAAATCTTAATGATATCGATTAACTTCAGCCAACAAACTCTTTGTCATTGAAATTTGCCAATGTTTTCATTTCATGTTTTTTTGCGCACTCTTCCAAATTTGCAAACAGTTCCAAACAGAAGTCTCCGATTAATTACTCGAGAGCAGAACACTGATATGAGTATGGTAAGACTGATATTTAGAAGTTTAGGTTTATATGCAACCTGGCAAGTTCAGTACATTTAAATAAACAGCGTATGAGCAGAAAACATGATATATCTTGCCTTCTTTGTTAAGGATTATCAGTAAATTTTACATTTCTATCTTACAGTTCAGTCTTGGGTGTTTTTTTAACATCCACGATCTAAAGTAAAAAATTATTACATTCATTGACGAGACCTTGTAGATTTTTTCATATGCGCTTGTCACGTTATCATGTCAGGTTTTTTTTAATTTACCAGGTTTATTAGTCAAGCTCCCTTCATCGGTAATTTTCATGTCAAGATGATCAAAAACGTAATAACATGTAGATGGCAGATGGTAATGAACAAATACAGAAATACAAATCTAGAGAAAAAGTTAGAATCGGTGAACTTGCTTCAATAGAAATTGTACATAAATGCAACGGATTGTTTCTTATCGTTTTGTGGTTTTGAATCATTTCGAAATCAGTTCCATCGGAGGAAAAAGTTCTGAAAGCATTTTATTCCCCATTTGCAAAATTTATGTATTTAAGTTGGACAGGAGCGTTCCTCAGCTGACTCAACAAACTGATGAAGCTTTCTGGGGCTTGTTCAACTGGGACGTCAAAGCAAACAAAAGCGGATGCTCTTTATGAATTTGCTCAAGTATTTTCTATAAATTCTTGCCGCTTTATCTTGTGATTTTAGAT